ACATGCCAATTTAATTAGTATACAACTTGTATGGTGCACGTAACTGATAATAAATTACATTATATTTATTTCAAAATAAGTGTCATTTTAAAATATTTATTCAGAAATTCGATTGGACTACAATGTGATTCCATAAAATAATTCTTTTCGTAAAATTTTATCATATATTTAAAAATCTATGTGAATAATAAGTACAATTATAAAACTTATAGTGTTCATTAATTAAAATAGATTTAATTTTGTATAAACTATCAAAATAAAAAAATTTAAGTTGTTGAGTAATTTATTATAGTATAATTAATTGACTACTTCATGTATGCCTAAGTTAATATTGACACTTAAGTTATGAATAATTATTTATTTGACTTTTAAATTTGAAACCCAAATTTGAACTATACGATAAATTTCTTTATATATATATATATATATATATTTCCTTATATATAAATTCCCTTATATACATATTATCTCACAATTTTTTAGAGTTGTTGTTGCTTAATTTTTAAATTTTATTAACCAATGTTTGTTCAAGAGGAATACATACTATTTTCTCAAACTATCATTAATATTTTATGGCAAGTTATTATAGAAATATACTAAAATTTGAGAATAAAATTCGACTTTCATACCCATAAAATTTAATACCTCATAATAACAAAAATATTATTTTTTAATATATTTTTGTTCAAAAAAATACATTTATCCTTTAAAAGAGTTGGATTGCGAAGAGCTTTCATGATGTTTTGCTTGATGAGTCCTCATGATTTCTTATCAATATAGAATATCTATTTGTTCTTTATGTTTTGCTTGATTTTTTGATGAGTGGGGATACAATAACAACTCAGAGTGTGTATGTTATTTTTATATGCAAATTGAGTGTTAATAATAGGTGAAAAAAAATATCTCGATATTAGATGATTGGAGCTTTAGAATGATATTATCTAAATATTTGAAATGATATTCGCGTACATTATTAAAATTTGGAATGATTTGATATTATCCATCAAATTAAACAAAAATTATAATTGGTAAAAAAATAAATCGGCTCACTTTTTTTTTCCTTGGGTTGCGATATTAATACATAAGCTTAGCTATTTCAAAATCTTTTTAGATTAATAGTATAGTTATCCACAGATTTATCAAATAAGTGTTTAGTGAAGATTTATCAAAAAAATAGTAGATTAGTAGTTAGTTATCTACATATTCCATCATGAGTTATCCACAGATTATTGTTCCAATATTATCTCTACACCATGAATTTTGAGTTCAAACTGTGATTTTCTGTTAAAAAAAAAACTACACCATTATGGTTTTCATGCTTTCTATAAATAGAATGTCAAAAGTATTATTTATTTGGTCAAAAGTTTCCAAAAAGGATTTAACCAACAACCTTTCTATATATAGATAGATTACATAAGTACAAAAATATATATCTTAAATAAATAGAAATAATATGGTGATATGTATATGCATAAGTGTAGAATAGATTAATTTTTTTACTTAATTAGATGCCTAATACATCAAGTATCGTATCAATCGTGCTTCACAGTTTTTTAACTTTATATGTAATTTTAGAATTTAGATAAATAATTATTTATTTTTATTACATTGACAACATACCAATTAGATTTGAAATAAATATCATTTTTAAAGGAATACATACCAATTTTTTATTACTTTATAGTATAATTTATAGTTTTGATATAATTTAATTTAGTTCGATAAATAAATTTAAATTTTATTTACAAGGATATATATTACTGTTTTATATTATATATATATATATAGTAAAATACAAACGGACTTCATAATATCAATTCAAATGCAGCACACTAATTAAGATTTTTTTTTCTTGACAATATTAACCCTATTTAATGAATGTTATGGGAAATGATGGAGATGGGATATGAATAGACACTGTGTATTAGATGGAGGGTTAAAAATGAAAAAATGTGAACAAAATATCTAAAAAGACATTTATTTTATCAATAATCAATTAATCCAAAGTGACAAATAATAAAAATAGGAGGAGTATATATATATTTTAGTATGACACATATTAATTGTGCGACTTATATGTGTTGTATTATAATAAATTTTCTACCTTATAACATATAACTACAGTAAACATAAATATGTTAATTGATAAATAATTTTATTCTCTAATTAATTTTAATAAATAATTTTATTATTATTATAAAGATAAATATAATTTATTTATTTTATATATACAATATGGATGTCAAATCGAAGCTCATCAAAAGATGATTAATTTGATATGTTATATATGTAAAATCGATAAGAAATACAAAAACTATCAACCTTTAAAATATATCTGCAATTCAATGGTTATAATAAGAAATGATATTAAAATACAATTAATACAAATATTAATTTATATCCAAGCGTAACTTCAAAACATGATTTTTTACCAAATAGGATTCTGAAGCATGAAAGTTTGCCACGTATAGGATTCTGAAGCATGAGAGTTTGCCACGTAGGCTCAGCGTATTCTGAAATCTATACTTATATTAAAGGGGGTACTATTTACCAAATTAAGTAACCAGAAAAGTCAACAGCATTTATTGCATTACTATTTCCGTATTATACTATATAAAAGGATATTCTATTTACTACATTTACTATCCAGAAAAGTCAACTGCATTAAATGTCATTACTATTTTGGTATTATAATATTTTATTTATTTAATTGATTTATTTATTTATTTTATTTTAAAAGGTAAGTATAATAAAAAGATTTTAATAATAAAAAAATCAAATACCAAATAAAAATGTACACTTTGACTTATTTGATTATATTTGGTATTTGATTATACCAAATATATTTCTATTTAGTATATACATTAAATACTTACTAAAGTATTTATTTGTTTTGTTTGTCAAAGTTAAATATAGATTTGTTTATATTATCAAATCATAAAAAAATATTAATTCCATATTGTAAAAAAAAAAATCATATAATTTTATAACAATTCTACTACACTATTTAACAATATTTCTTTTTTATTATATAATAAAATAATAATTAAATATTATATGGTGAACAACAATAAGTTAAACTGTTACTTTCTCTTATATCAAGAGATAAATTTATATACATAAATTAAATTTTTATTAGTATAAATATTTTAGTGAGATAATATATTAATTATTTTACAAGCTAGCCCTAATATGCTCATATTTATTGTTTTAAAAGATGTAGAAAAAAAGCTTATAATAACTCTAATGTTTTTTAGACTTAAACGTTGATTAAAAGAGGTAAAAATTCCTAATTTTTTAGACTTAAACGTTGATTAACACCATAGATTGAGAGTTTATATTTAGTAAAATTCTTAATTGTAATAAAAAAATAATTTTTGTTATATTTTAGAATATCTTTAAATTCATTAAAAAAAAGAAAAAAAAACTACAATGAAAAAAGCAAGTCAGCTATATATCGATTTGTTGTACTCCTCAAATCATATTCACAATTTGGCTACAAGGAAAGGAAACTCATTCATTAAAATATTATTTTGTCAGTAGTCTTAATGTACAAGAGACTTTAAGACTCCACTTGAATATTATAAAACTTTTATTGAACATTGTACAATTTCTTGCGTATTATAAAGTTTTTATTGAATATTGCATCTTATAATATAATATTCTCCAAATAAATATATCTCGTGTTTCGCACGGGTCACGTACTATATATATCTTGTACATTTTTCTTTATTCATGTATATAATTATAAGTCTGGATAAATAACCTTAAAATTGTGCACCCCGTGCATCGCACGGGCTCTGTACTAAGAGGGGATAGTTACAATTCTTGTGCAGATAAATTTATCGGAATTTTAAATAGCATCCCATAATGTCATTCTTGATTAAAAGCTTCAATTCTTTAAACAAAAAGCACAAGATACTTTTTTTTTTCAATAAAAAGTAATAGTAATAATTATTGTGTGGATGAATTTCTTGGAAGTTTAAATAGCCTCTCATAATCTCATTCTTGATTAAACGCTTCAATTATTTAAATAAAGAGCATAGGATATATATTTTTTTTTCAATCAGAAGTAATAGTTATAATTATTATGGAGATGAATTTTACATTTACTTCTAATTATTGTGCGGATGAATTTTTTGAAAGTTTAAGTAGCATCTCATAATCTTAATCGTGATTTCTTTTTACTTTTTATTAAATAAAGATTTATCTTTTCATTAATTTATTTAGAATTAGAATACTATTACATTAAAAATATTTATTTTTAATTACCATCGGTCATTAAAAATAAATTAAACACGAGGACTTTTTTTTTTAATCTATTCAATTTTTTATAAAATCACTCATCCTTTTATAATAATAATAAATATATTAAATATATATACCACAAGAAATTCAAATCTCAATTTTATATTAATTAGATAGTGAAACACATTGGTCCAATTTGTTATATTTGGACTTTGCAACCTATAATATATTTTTATTTTTTTGGTAAAATGCAACATTAACTTTATAAATTTGCAATTTAATTTTTATTTGCCTATATCTTTATCATACGATCCTCCGATTAAAAGAAAAAAAAAAGACACTCGTATGATCAAGTTGTATGCAAGTTGCAAAATGTTGATGAAGTTTGAATTTGTATTTTACGAGAAAGATGGTACTCGATTTCCATAAATATGACACTGATGAGTATGATCAAGATGTATGCAAGTTGCAAGGTTGCAAAATGTTGATGAAGTTGAATTTGTATTTTACGAGAAAGATAGTACTCGATTTCTATATAACTGAAAGAATACTGCAGACTGAATAATAAGTCAAACAACCTGAGACAATAGACGAATATAAATAATTAAACATGCTCACGAGCTAGCTAGCTATAGTTTGATGGTAGAGTTGAGGAAAAAAAATGAACGCATGACTTAGAAAAAAGCCTAATTTAACGTTGTACTTTGTATATAAATTACCCATTCATGTGACCGCCGATGAATGCAAATCCCCATCAGAGCACCTGACAAATTAAAAAACTAACTAAGCTAAGCCTTAATTAACTTATTAATTAATGGCTGCAATAATGTTTGTGAAAGGCTCTGATTTTTTGTTCCTAATTAGTTTCACAATGTTAACCCTTAGTAATTACTTAGCCGAAGGCCACAATTACAGTGATGCCCTCGCGAAATCGATTTTATTTTTCCAAGGCCAGAGGTCCGGCAAACTTTACGACCAAGACCAAGCCCTCGGCTGGAGGGGCGATTCCGCACTTTCCGATGGTCAGTCGGATGGGGTACGTTAAAACCGTAACCGACAAATTAATATCGAATATAAATTTATAATAACATGAATAATTAATAAATATTATATCTTATAATAATTGCTAGCTTCATGTGTTAATTAATTTGTTGTATTTAATTTAACTACGTACAGATGGACTTGACGGGAGGATACTACGACGCGGGAGATAACGTGAAGTTCAATTTCCCGATGGCTTTCACGATAACCGTGCTTTCATGGGGAGTCATTGAGAACGGCAACAAAATGGCGGGGCAGTTGCCCAAGGCAATGGCTGCGATCAGGTGGGGCACGGACTACCTGCTCAAATCTGCTCAGCATCTGAATACTAGTGGCAAGTTATACGCGGTAGTTGCGAATCCCAATTTGGACCACAGTTGTTGGCAGAGGGCAGAGGACATGGACACTGATAGGACTGCATATTACGTAACACCCGAAAACCCGGGCTCTGACTTGGCGGCTGAAATGGCTGCTGCCATGGCTGCTGCTTCAATGGTTTTTCGGAAAACCGATCACAAATACGCCAAGCAGCTTTTGCAGACTGCGAAAAACGTGTGGCAGTTTGCTGTGGACCACCGAAGAAGGTACAGCGAGTCCCTTCCAATTGTGTGCCCCTTTTATTGTTCCTACTCCGGATACACGGTAATAATAAAATTAATTAATTAATTATTATTTAGTTATATATTGAATACCTAGGCTAGAAATTAAATATTATAAATTAATAATTAATTAAATAATGTCGTTGCCCAAGGATGAGTTGCTGTGGGGAGCAGCATGGATGCACAAAGCAACTGGGGAAGACAAGTATGTGAAGATGATTGAATCTTTTAGTGGTAATGGACCATCAAATGCTTTCAGCTGGGACGACAAATATTCTGGTGCTTATGTTCTCCTAGCAAAGGTACATACGTAACACCAAATCAAATCGATCCATTTATTATTTTTTTTGTTCTTGGGCATTTTATCGTTTTAACCATTTGACATTTGCAGCGCAATTTGGTTAACAATGACCCCACTTTTGAGCAGTACCGTCGCAAGGCGGAAGATTACATGTGCAAAATACTGCCTAAATCCCAGTACTTGGGTACATATTACACACAAGGTCGATCGAGTAACATTAATATTGTATATAATTATTACTCATCGATCAAGTCTAATTAATTACATATGCACATGTGTTAATTTTGGACTAATGCATGTTAATGATCGATCGATCTCCATATATATATATATATATCCTGATCAGGAGGATTGATGTATGTATTGGAAGGTAGCAACTTACAATACGTAGCATCCGCAGCTTTCTTGCTAACGACTCTTTCCAAATACATGTCGGCCTCAAATTACACGTTTCCCTGTGGGAACTTCCAAGTCACTAGGAGCTATTTGCGCGCCCACGCAAAGAAACAAGTATTTTTCTCTTCTCTTCTGTTTTGTTTTGTTAGTAACTTATATATTAATTGAAATCGATTATTATTATTATTATAAGGTATAAATAAGTAGTTATATATATATATATATGTGGGCCGGGGTGCAGGTGGACTATATACTAGGGGACAATCCAATGAAGATGTCTTACATGGTGGGCTATGGTTCGAAATATCCGACTCGACTCCACCACAGGTGTGCGTCTGTGCTGTCAATGCATGATCATCCGGCACGATTTGGATGTGGGGAAGGGTTCAATATGTTCTTATACACACAAAATCCGGACCCAAACCAACTGCTTGGGGCAGTTGTTGGAGGTCCCGATCGAGACGATTCTTATGCCGATGACCGCACAAGATACACCCAGTCCGAGCCCACCACTTACATCAATGCTGCCATAGTTGGACCCTTGGCATACTTTGCTGCCAATACTAACTAATTAATCATCATCCACACTTTTTAATTATTATAAACTAATATATATAATAATTACTCCTTGTTTTAATTAGTATAATAAGGATGATGATGCATAATATATATCATATATGCCATATCTAAACTTATATCTCTACACATATACATGTATTAATGTCACGCACACATATAAATGTATACACACATTTATGTTATGTCCAACTGATGAATAATGAATAAAGGTTTGCCAAGAAAAAATATATAGTACATGTATTGTATTATCTTTTTTCCTTACTAGTAATTAATGCATATGTGACTTTTTTTCAATAGTAATATCATGTGTCCACTCATGTTAATTGAAGTCGTAGCAAATTGCTTTTACAATATGTCACGGTGTGTTTACTAATTCGAATAGAGTAATTCAGAGGAGTTGTCGAACGAAACAAGCCATTCGTGAGTTCTACTCGGCTCGTTTGTTAAAACCTCGCTAAGGGTTGAAAATATGAATTTTTATGTAATTTTCTAACAATTCGGCTGATTAATTAAGGTTCGAATTCGATTAGTTAATATTGATAATCGAGCTGAAACTCCAGTACCAAGAGCTCAAACTCGGCTTGACTTGTTTACTCCTCCAACCTTATGCATGACTTGAGTTACTGTTTAATCTTTAATTATGAAACATCCCATGTAAATCCCGCGACTCTTGTTTACTCGCTCCTCCAACCTTATGCTGACTTGAAATTATTGTTTAATCTTTAATTATGAAACATCCCATGTAGTAAATCCCAGTTTTTGTTCTTCAAGCCCATGGTCTGATGTATTGTCCAATCTACCCCAAACAAGCTAAATAAAATTAAATAGGCTACGGGAGTACGGCAAGCTTCTTTTGTCGCCAAACCCAAAAATGTGAATATTATCCTCTACATCCAAAACAATTATGATATTTTAATCATAATTGAACTTCCATTTACTTACCCCNAAAAAAAAAAAACCCATGTTACTCATTCAAAATTTATTTGGCAAGTTGATACAGAATAGAAGAGGACAAGAAAGTGAAACATGTCAAAAACTAGCGAGCATTTGCAGCTTAGTAGGGGGATAGGCTCTGTCCTCATGTCTGGTTTTGCTAATTTAGTGGTTGTTGCTTATTTGTAAATGTTTTCTTTTTGTATCTTATTTGAGTAGTTCTTAGTTGGGTTTGTTTTGTATATTGGTGCTGTTGGACTGTATTTTGATAGGGGGTTCATCTAGGCCTTCTTGTGCAGTGGTTGAACCCCTCTTTGAGGCTTCGAGTTTGTGGCTAGCTAGTGGATTCAATGGGATAGGCATTGCTACTAGCTATCATACAAACTCTATTTAGTTTTATTGTGTTGATTAGTTTGTTTTGTGCCTGTGGGCGTTCCTCACCTGTGAGGGAGATATGGACCAGTTGGTCTTGAGATTTACAAACTTTGTATTTTGTTTGCCGAGTTATTCAATCTATCGTTTCNGGAGAATTGTCAATCAATCAGGTCATAATTTTTACCTCTATTAGCGACCAGACCCGAACAACATATTAAAATAGTGGAGCATGTTTTTAATACCTGATAATATTCATGTAATTGTAAGCTTAGACAAATGTGGTGTTTAACGTTGCCATTTTTCGGTTCGGGGGCGCATTATGGAGGACCCCGAACCAGCCCGATAATATATATGTGTTGGTTCATGAACTGTCGGTTTAGAGTTGAACCCGTTTAATAAAAATATGAAAATAATTAAAAATTAAAAAAGAAAAAAGTCGAATCATCCGTTTCGATTCCGATTTCGGTTCTAGTTCGGAACTGGAACAGCCGGTTCAATTTGTATAAATGATTGAACTTGAACTTAACTGAGTAAAATCGCAGGACGATTCAAGGCCCGTTGATCAATTTGTATAAATGAATAAACCTAGAATGTAACTAGGTAAAATCACGGGTCGGTCCAAGACCCGTTGACCACGGGCTTGACAGGTTGATTAAGCCATGACTAGGTGTTTTTCATCTCTTATGTGTGCTTGGAGCAATTGGATATAAAATTTTTTGGATTTGTTTGGATTTTTTTGGTTTGGTTTGGTTAATTTTGAAAAAGATAGTGTACTTAGTTGTTAGTGGGTACACTACAAAAAAATTGTTATATTACAACAGAAAATCCTATGTTAGTATATTCCAATGGCATAACTTTCGTTGATCATTCCAACAGAAATTCCAATGAAAAGATTCCGTTGGAATGTGTTTTTCATTGGAATTTTAGATGGAATATAATGATTCCAATGATTATATTTCCAACGGCCTTTTACCATAGGAATTTCCGTTGGAATTTTTATTTCCACCCTCGTTGGAATCGTCAAAATTCAACGGAAATTCCAATGAAAAATTCATTCCAACGTAATATTTATATTGGAATTTTTGTTGGAATCCATTAGAAAATTCCAACGGAAATAATAGCATTGAAAAATATCCATTGAAATTGCCGTTGGAATTCTATTTGAATATATTTCCGTTGGAATTTCATCATTTTCTTGTAGTGGTATATTAAAATAATATTTAAAATAAAATAATTAAAATTGATTTGATGTATGTAACAATATTGGTTTGTCATCATCCGATAAACCTAAGTGTTTTCTAGAAGATTTTCTTGTTAGACAAACAAAATAAATGAAAAGGAAGTTTTATATTTATTTACTTGTTAATTAATTAAGATCCTATTATTTATTATTAATAATATATGTTATATATTTATTAGAATGTGTATTATGGAGTCCTAAACCTTTAGGAGAAGGATTACATAATATATATCTTATATATTTACTTACCATATATGTCACATGCATTAATGAGCTTGATTCTATGCCATAATTAGTTTTTTCTTTCTTGTAGGACAAGGAATAAGTGGCAAGGACTATGAAAGGATGAGATATTCACACAAGAAGAATTCTGGACGTTCTCTAGAAGATCTAAGGAGAATTTGGAAAGACTCACCACAAGATCTTTGAAAATTTGGAAGATCGGCTATTTTAGGAAAGTTATGTTCTTACAAGAGTCTGAAAACACGAGATTTCCATTGGAAACTCAATCATGAAGATCTCCAAATCACATACACAAATTCTACATCAAGAAAACTTACTTTACATGAAGTATTTTGTCCAAGATCTGAAAGGAATCAATTGGAAAGAAAATTGACTCCTAGAAGGAAAAGAAGTCTAAAACTTGGAGAAGACTCCAAGCCTAAGGGATTGTATATATACCCTACTTGAAGATCGAATCAATGCTGCTGAGATCATTATTATTCAGATACTATTCGAGCTTCAAGTCTTCTTTTATTTTAGTTCTCGATTCAGTTTTCGGTGTTCTTACATATCTATGAACTGAAGTCGTTTTGTTTTCTTTTTTTTGTTTTATTCAAACACTTTTGTGATCAGTGCTTAGGGATTAAGTACTGTTTTTAGCTCGAGGGATTCGAGAGTTAAAGTCCACGGGACGTGGCCGGAGAAGTAATTGATAGAATCGTGTGTAGTTGTGGCTAGGCTAGAAGGGAGTTTGAGTCGTGTAAGTCCAAACTATACAAGTGTGCACAAATGGTTTATCAATGAAAGACCTCTGAGGGGAAGTGGGACGCTTCCCTGAAGAGTTTTTAAATCTTTGGTTTATTGCTTCCGCTAATCTAGTTGTTTGTTTGTGTTCTAACAACGTTGAGTGCAGTCACCGTAAAATACCTACGTTTCAATTGGCAACAGAGCAGTGTTCCTGTTCTACTTACAGGATGAAGATCTTTGGGTCCTTGGGTTGGTCACCATGATTCACGATGGCATGTCCGTTTCGCGCCCTCCATACCTCGATGGATCAAACTATGGATATTGGAAGTCCATGATGACAATATTTATACGGTCCTTAGGTAAAGGGACTTGGCAAATTATAGAGACTGGTTGGTCAACACCTTTGATGGAGAAATCACCCTCGGAAAAGAAGGAAGGATCCTCGTCCTCTGATGTTGGTCCTCGTGTTCTTATTGAAAAATCGAGAGATATTTGGTCCGATGCGGATAAGCAAGCCGATGAAGCAAATTTTCATGCTCTTTATGCAACAATTCTTGCGGTTCTCGTCACAAGATGATCATCCAGTGCACCGCAACATGTGATGCATGGAAAATTCTCGAGAGGCAATTTGAGGGTACCAACGCCATGAAGTCTTCCAAGCTCTAAAGGATTACCACGGAGTTCGACACTATTCACATGAAGGATGATGAAAATATTGATAGGTACTATGCACGCTTTTGTGATCTCGTTAACAAAGTGTCATGCTTGGTGAGGAGATTTCTGAGGCAAGGCAAGTGCAAAAGATCATGAGGACCCTTGCCAAACGATTCCGTGAAAAGATCACCGCACTTGAGAGTTTTCAACGAGTCGAGCCTCTTGGTCTCGATGACTTACTTGGAGAACTCCGAACCTTTGAAATCAATCGTGGTTACGATAAGATGGGAATAAGCAAAGGCATAGTTCTGAAGGCCAGTGTTCCAACACAGTCCAATGGTGAAGAAGATGAGGGAGAACAATTCAAAGATTCTGAATTCAATGATGCGCTAACTGTTCTCACCAAGAAATTTGATGAGTTGCTGAAAAAGGTTCAAAAACTCGAAGGGGGAAAGCCATCTAAACTCAAGAACAACAATCAGAGTTCCAACACACCTTCCTAAAAGACTCAGAATTAGGATCTAGAGAAGAACCAATGCCGTGAATGCAAGGGATTTGGACACTTTTAGAAAGACTGTCCGAATTTTAGGAGGAAGAACAACACCTATCGAGCCACATGGGATGATGATGAAGACGACGATGACCAGCAACACATGAACAAAGAAGGCCACAACCTTAAAGGTAAGAATGGTAAGTCTAATTCTACCAAAACTCAGCATAAGAACTCTGACAAGAACTTTGTGCCTGTTTGTCGCTATTGTGGTATCTGTGGTCATATTCGCCCTAGGTGTTATAGGATGCATAATGATATTTATACTGGTCGAATTGATGATTGGAGTCCACATGGTATTCCAATGAAAACACCAAAACCGAAGGTTGACGTAAAGAACCATAAGCAACATAAAATTTGGTTCCCAAAAAGAATCATACTTGTCTTTCATCTCTGTATGCTTCAAAATCCACTTTTAATTGTGATTGGTAGTTTGATAGTGGATGTTCTAGGCACATGACATGTGTTAAATCAAATTTCATTGATGTTTTACATGTGTCTAATGGTTCTGGTTCTGTTACTTTTGGTAATGGTGCTAGTAATAAGGTTGTAGGAATTGGATTTATGAACATACCTGGTCTTCCTAAACTTGATAATGTTTTGTTAGTTGAGAACCTGAATGTCAATTTGCTGAGTGTGAGTCAATTATGTGATCAAGGCTATTCTATGAGTTTCACCATGAA